CAGAAGTCTTTGTTACTAGATCATTTGTAAGGTATGAGAGAAAGAGGAGAATTGGCTGTAAATACATTTTAAAAAATTTATACGTAAAAATGTTTGGGGTGTGCCTGAGCTTATAAGTAGATGGGTTTTCCACTCTGGATTGGCAGCTGGTTATATAGCTGCTAGGTTGAAATATAAATTATTAAAAAGAGGACTTTGAATGCATTGTAGTTAAAACTGTTATATTGGACCCAATGAGCAAAGGAGTGGCTATAAATAAGAAATAAAAGTTTCAAGAATTTAGCCCTGGCAAAGGAGACTGGCATTCAGGCTCATGGGAGCTACTGCTTAACTTCATAAGTAAAATGGGTGAAAACCCACTTAGAGTGGATTCGGAGATAAGTAGAGGAGAGGAATTTGATAAAAAAGAAAGGGTCTAATACACTTTTGAGGAGTTTTGCCATAAAAAAGAGCATTTGGCAGTAACTGTTTAGGGAAGTAGGATTATGAAAAATTTTTAGTATTGTAGAAGCTATTTAAAAATAAAGATTATGCTGAATTTAACAGAATATATTTATATTTCCAATCATGAAACTTTTTTAAAAAAATATATTTTATTGATTTTGTACAGAGAGGAAGGGAGAGAGATACAGAGTTAGAAACATCGATGAGAGAGAGTCATCGATCAGCTGCCTCTTGCACACCCCCTACTGGGGATGTGCCCGCAACCAAGGTACATGCCCTTGACCAGAATCGAACCCCGGGTCCCTTTAGTCCCCAAGCCGACGCTCTATCCATTGAGCTAAACCGGTTTTGGCGCAATCATGAAACTTTTTGTTATTCAAGACTATTCATAAATTTTATGACTAATTGCATATGTATATACAAATTCAACATTAGTAATGGATATAAACAACCTCATTTCTACAAGCAGCATCAGGTGTTTTGAATTAGAGTTGGATTCACATTTTGGCACTGTTACTTAAAACTGTTAACAATTGCTCACATTTTTTTTTTAGATGCTATTTACATTCCAAGTCTTCTTAGTGCATTCCTTGTCTTTTAATTATTAAGAGACTCTAGCATTATAAATGCTATTATCACACCCATTTTTTCAGGTAGGAAAGTTGAGGTACAGAAAATACTAAGTAAGTTGTCCTCAGTCATAGCGATCCTAGGGGATAAAGCTGGCTCTGATCATATGTTTAAATTATTATTTTACTGTCATGGTGAGGCCAGCCCTTACAGCTAGTATAAAAAGGCTTTAAAAAATGTAACCACATGCCTATGTATCACTTCAAGAAAAAAATTACTTTAATTTTTCCAGTTCAATATCTATTAGTTCAAAAGAGGACTCAGTAATAAGTTGAAGCTATCTATACCCAGCATGCTTCATAACTTCTATTGAATCAAAGTATGTAAAGTTCAGACAATGTAGTCGTGTGATAGCAAAAAGCAATCTAAAGTCTGAGTAACCTTTTATTAATATTTGTTCAGTAAGTCATATTGTAGATAAACAATCAAAGTCAGATTTCTTGGATGGAAGTTTTCCCCCCAGAAATACCTTTCAATAGGAAAAGCCTGCTTTAAAAATAATCTTACCTCATCAACAGCCTCACTCCCTCAGGAGGTCTTCTCAGCCTGCCATCACTCCTGGATAGAATGCCCTGAATTTGTTTCTGATTTTTTTTCTGAGTGTTCTTCCTTTATTACATGCAATTCACTGCTTAGCACACATGCATTCATTCATACTAACTGGGTTAAAATACAGAATGTCTTCTTTTTTAAAAAAATATATTTTATTGATTTTTTACAGAGAGGAAGGGAAAGTTAGAAACATCGATGAGAGAGAGTCATCGAGCAGCTGCCTCTTGCACACCCCCTACTGGGGATATGCCCACAACTAAGGTACATGCCCTTGACCGGAATCGAACCCAGGACCCTTCAGTCCCCAAGCCGACGCTCTATCCATTGAGCCAAACCGGTCTCGGCAAAATACAGAATGTCTTGTTGCCCACACTAGACATTGCCAAATTGCTGTTGTCTGACTTTGTTAATCATGAGCCATTCTAGGGACATATTAAGAGCATCTTTATTAAGATACTGCTGCTAATTTTATCTCTCTTTTAAAAAGCATATTTTTATTGATTTCGAAGAGGAAGGGAGAGGGATAGAAACATTATTGATGACAGAGAATCATTCATTGATTGCATCTTGTATGTCCCCCAACTAAGGATCCAGCCCACAACTCCGGGCATATGCCCTAATCGAGAATTGAATGGTAACCTCCAGGTTCATAGGTTGATGCTCAACCAGTGAACCACAACCTGCCAAGCTAATTAGATATCTCTGAACTGGGTTCAAAATATGTATTCTTTACTCCATAATAGGAAGTCAGGATAATCATATTTAAGCACTTTTTTTATTTTTGTGGTAGAAATGATTTTGGACTTGGGCAGGATTCTACTTCACCACTGCCTGGCTTTTCATTCCTGGGAAAAGTATTTACTTCTCAAAGCCTAAATCTATTCATGTGAAAAATGAAGATGATAATATCTTCTTTCAAAGTTTTCAAGACTAAAAATAATACATGTGAAACTGCTGAGCAAATATCTGGTGCCTCCAAGAACAATTCCAAAACCTTTGTGTGCTAAGTTGTATTCTTGTAAAAAGATTTGCTTTGACTATTAAATTAGACAAGGTATTCACAGCTTCTGAGGTAGAGATGGAGGCACATTTAATAATTGTTTCTCTACTTTACATATAATATATAATGTTAATTGAAGTGTGGAATATGATGTAAATATGCTATATTGGTTATAATACTCCTATAATTTTCTATCAGTGAATATGTATGGTAGAAATAGGAAGTAGTCAAAAGGATAGAAAAAGGAATATGATTAAAGTTTACTTAGAGGCAAAAAAAAAAGGGTCTAAACAAACAAATGGGTCTAAAGTAAGTAAAATATTGCTATCCAAAACAGGGAAGGTAAGTTGATGACTAACAGCACAAAAATAGTCAGTAGTTTCATTCGAAGATTCAGGCATACATTTGAAAGAGGCAGTATTTTAGCTTGAGTGATAATCACATTGGAATGCCTGGGTTCAGTTCCTGGTTTATGTTTATTTATTTATTTTCTTCATCTAAGAGGGATACTATCTTCCTTAAAGGAAACAGTTTCAGGGTTGCCATAAAATAACATAATCTAATTAGATCTTGCTTTCAATAGATGGTCTTGTGGTCAAGCACACAGGTAAAATACACTATGGGTCAAGGGTACATTGCCTTCTGAATGTAACTAACCTACCTCAATGATCTTAAGTATTGGGGGCGATCTAACTCCCTAATTCTAGAAAGTAATTTTTAAAGCACTACATATGTTTATTTTTACAGAAGTATATCCACTTTTATGATTCTTGCCTCTTGCTTGACTTATATTAAATTTCCCTTTTTAAGTTTTGTAACTCAAACTAATAAATTACATTGGTGGCTCTCAAAAATGGTCATGCATTTATATCGAGCCTATAAATTCAGATGTCATCTATATTGAACTGCTGAGTAAGGGCCCAAGACTCTATTTGTAACAAGCAACCCAGTCAATTATTATCTGAATTATAATATGAGAACTTGTGCTTTCTTGCCTATAGAAGACTAAGTTTTTTTGCTTGAAGACACTACACCCAAAACGGAGATTAAACAGATAAACTTGACCTCAGTTATAGGTCTCTTTAATACTAAGTTATAATCACACGGGCCACATGTTTTAAGATAATAAATAATTGCTTTAAAATATGATGACATTGATTATGTAAAACTTGCTGAGATAATACATAAAATCCAAAATTTACCTCTAATGTAGATAATCAAAACACAAATGAATTTTAGATATGTTCAAATGCAACTCTTTAATCTCTGATATTCTTTATCTGTTCTAGAAGCACTGAAAATCATTGCATTTCCTTGAAATCTTGTTATCATCAAAACTTTAAATAATCCCTAAAATATAACTTAAATATTATCTGTTTCTTTTGATAAATTAGCATGTAAATGTTAATAGAAGATATACACAGCACATATAATATAATATTAATTACTTCAAAAACTGTACTTGAATGAATAGGAAGGGAAAAAATCATATAACTTTTTATAAACTAAATAATTTGCTATATTGGCCGAAATGATCAAACTTCCTCACAATTAATAAAACAATAATGAGGTTTCAACTGTCTATAAGATCCTGAAATCTTAAGATAAAATTAAGATTCTTAAGACATAAATAATGGAAATTAGCCATATTTGAGGTTCTAATCTAGAATTTAATTTGAAAAACAAAATAAGTAAATTAAAAATTTCAATAATAATTATACTTTTTAAGTAAGCAAATAACATGATTTATGTGCCAAAGTTTAACCAAATAATTGTAAATGTTTGCCTAAAATAGTAAGGTTTCTGAAAATGTTGTTTATATTTTAGATTTCTGAAACACTTATCAATACATACCACATGTATAAATTTAAAGGTCATGTGAATTGGATATCTTTACAAAAAATTTAAATTTGGATAACTCAGTCTCTATATTTGGTTCTTCAAAAGTTTGTGAATTATTGGAGCAGTTAGATCAAAATGATTCAGACAAGGAAAAAAATGAAATTACTACTGCTTGAATTCAACAGATAATTATTTAAATTAAATCGTATTTTCTGAAGAGATCATATTTATTGTGATTAGAATAAATTAGAATTCTAATTTTTAGAGTAAGAATTATGAAAGTTAGAATTATAAAAGTGATAACACATTACTTTGAAATTAGTATGGATTTGAGATTTAGTAATATTAACATTGTTTAATAGTTATATCAAACTCCTAACTAAAAATGTAATAAAGTAAATTAAAACACCAATATTCCTGTTGAAAATGTCAAGTACCACAAATTAAATTTTTAATTATCAAGTACCAAAATGAAGTAAGTTTTAATTCTCTAAAGATTAGAAAGTTTTAAAGAAATAGCTGTTATACTTACATAGTCTCCACAAAACATTTTGATGGTTTACTTCGGAGTAGATCAAAAGATTTTCAGTAAGTGATCAACCATGCAGACTTGTTTTCCTATGCAGCGAGAAAGAGCTGAAGTTCACTGCTCAATCAAGTTTAAATATGTCTACCTTTCACCTCAGTGTCTCAGACAAGAAAATATGGAGCCGATTCTGGGTAAAGCCCAGGCTAGCGATACAGTATCTATGCTGAGCTATCAGTCATAGGTGACTAGGCACAATTACTGCACAAAATAAATAGAACCGGTAGCCTAATTCCTGGTCCTGTGTTGATTTAAGAAACATAAATTAGCCAATCAATGAAAGAAGTGTAATCTTTTGAAAAAGGTGATGACTTATGGAAAGGTAATTTCATTAACTACAAAGTTAATAATTTATTTTCTGCTTTACCATTTTTAACATTCAGACTCTCTCCGGAACTCAAACTCCTACCTTCATTTTAAAAATTGCTAGATTCTATGTGTGTCTGTATCATTCTTTACATAATTGTTACTATTACATATCTGGTCTTATATTAAGAAAGAATGTCTTTAGGACAGAATTGATTACCCAGCAATAATGTCTCTGGAAAGAGTTATTTTCATACTTTTCCATACATTTTATTTGAATATTTAACTTTATTAAATTTTAAGAAAACAAATTTTTTAAAATACTTTTAAAGTACCACATATTGTTAGGAAATATATACCTGCATGTTTCACACATTATTCAAAATATAAAAATAAATATGTACTATGTCACTTTATTGCTACTTAACCTTTTACAGTGTTTATTTAGTCTATAAAAAGTTTAAACTATTTTGAAGGTAAATTAGGAATAAATAATTCTTTGTTGAAAGAACAGAAAGCCTATATAACAGAAAGCCCTCACAAGATGGCTACCTATGACCAGGCCAGCAGGGGGGTTAGTCAGGGACGACCTAATGACTGAACAAGTAGGCTGCGTGGGGCAACCATGCCAGTGAAGGGTGTAGTTGGGGACCACCAGGTTGGCAGGGGGGTCAGTGAGGGGTGACTAGGTAGGTGGAGGGGAAGTTGGGGGCAACAGGCAAGTATGCAGAGGCAGTGAGGGGTGATCAGGCCAAGAATCGGTGGCAGTTAGGGATAACCAGGCAGGCAGGTGTGTGATTAGGAGCCAGCAGTCCAGGATTGAGAAAGAGATGTTTAACTTCCCATTTAGGCTCAATCCTGGGATTGGGCCTAAACTGGCAGTCAGACATCCCTGAGGGGTCCTGGATTGGAGAGGATGCAGGCTGGGCTGAGGGGACCCCCCTCCCATGTATAAATTTTGTGCACCGGGCCTCTAGTTATAATTATAAGTATCCACTGATAAGCACTCATAACTAGGACTGCTTTCCCCCAAATAAACCTGTTGTTAAAATTCATTAAGCAGGATATCTTCATATATATATATATATATATATATATATATATATATAGAGAGAGAGAGAGAGAGAGAGAGAGAGAGAGAGAGAGAGAGAGAGAGCGTGAGCAGAAAAAACCTGATTTTTGAAATATTTAGTTCATAATAGAATCAGTTAACTTAATAATATACTTGGTACTGTGAAAGATGTAAAGCATGATGACTGTTTTCAAAATGTAAATCAGCCATGTATGTGTTCATGTGTGTATGTTCTGTATTTGTAAGTGTCTGAATTTGAGTCTTGTGTTTTCTCTGTTTATATTTAGACAGCCTATAGTAATTACTAAATAATTGTTACAATTATGTTTAGGATTCAGAATTAAAAACAAAGGAAAATAAGTTTTGAACTGTTTTCTTTTTGACACATTTTTTAAAGATTGCATGATTTGTAGCTTTAATGTAGACTAAATGTGTCAACATGAAATGAAAATTGTCAAAATATTTAAGGCAAACATATTTTCCTTTATATTATCAGATTTGATAATATGAGGTTGTATTATATTTCCTAATTACCTTCCAGACAATAATTACTTAGTCTTTATTTTCAATCCTCATTATTTTATGGATTAGTTTTGTTTTTTTTAAGTCATGTACCAATTGACACTATAATGTCTGGGATTTGCTTTATAATAGTTCAGGCAAAAATGGTGTGAGAGATATTAATACGGTATGGCAAAATATTGAACTGTTGGGAATAGGGCAGTCCTTAGATAATTTTGTTTTTGTTTGTATTAGGAAATTTTCATAATAAACTTTGTTTAAAGTTGGGGTTTAACTTATTTGATCACACTTAAGTTGGGTAGTTTGGTGTTTTATAGTGTCGTCCCATATGCCAAGGTTGTGGATTTGAGTCTAGTCAGGACACACACACAAGAATCAACCAATGAATGTATAGATAAGTAGAACAGCAAATCTATGTCTGTCTGTCTTTCTCAAATCGATAAATCAGAAATCATTTTAACCATGATTTGAGGATCTACTATATAAAAAGTAATACTAGCATTAATTGAACTTTTATTCTATTTTAGACACTGTTTCAAGTGATTTTTATTTGTATAAATGAATTTAATTCTTACAATCCTATGGGCTTACGTACTATAATTACCCATATTTTAGTGAGGAGAATACTGAGATCTGCATAGTCAGAAAATTAGCCTCAGATTGCACCCTGGCAAGTGGTAGAGTAGAAATGTGAACTTAGGCAGTCTAATATCAGTCCTATGCTTGAGGCAGATTACATTATTTTTCATGATAATTCATTCTCTTAATGATATAGCACACATTTTTATGCACCTTTAATTCTGAGTTTAGTAATGTGCTTTGTTTCAACCAAATGAATATGAATGAGCAGGTAAATGGTATGGTACATCTAAGCACAAACTTTTAGATACATCATCACATTTTATTGCTATTTTCTGATGCTTCTGTTCTCTGGCAAAAATAGCACATGCCAGGATGGGAGAATCTGAAATATAGAAAGAACCCTTGGGAACAGGTCTTAGGCAATGCCTTTTAGATTTGCATTAACTAATGGATGTAATCCCAGTTTTAGCAATATGCATCATATTATTCAGCCTGACAGCCACTCAAATGAACTTTAAATTTTTTTATGACTATTGACCAGGCCATCTTTTAAATAAAATTTGGGTTTCTATGTAGTGTGGTATGACAAAAAAGCATTTAAACCTCTTGATGGCCAAGTTTCATATCATTCATTCAATTTATTGACAAGTATTTATTAGGTCACTAATATGTGCCTGGCAATGTACTAGAATCTGGGATACTTTGTGCACCAAGACAAAGTAGTGCTTATATTTATTAACTAATGATTCGAAGTTTTTATTTTATGCACAATTCAAAAAAGTGTAATTAATATAAATTGTTTAATGTAAGTTTATGTATACTTAAGTATAATAACACTGCCTCCATGAGCACTACAAACTATCTAAAACAACAATCATAAGAAAGAAAGCTATAAAAAGGGCAAGTTTCTTTCCAAATGGACAGTCTTCAAATGTTTGACATCAGTATTTGCTTAAGTTTTTTGAAAATCTATATTCTTTTTTAGTCTTTTTTAAAGGTTTAATGTAAATATTTTCATTCAAGATTAGATACTTGCAGTTTATTTTCTTTTACTTTCCTATAAGCATTCAACGAAATCTAAATGACAAAGCAATTCAGTGCCCATAATCAAAAAATCATATAATAAGCTCTTACTTGATAGTTGAATATTTTATATCATTTCTCTATCTTTCTAAGTTGGAATTTCCATTCTGCTTCCCTTATATTTGCATATCTTTTGGAGGGGCCACCTTATAATATATTTATAAACTCTCTCTCTCTCTCTCTCTCTCTCTCTCTCTCTCTCTCTATATATATATATATATATATATATATATATATATATAAATATATTATTCCCCCCCCCTCCTCTAATCTTGCTTGTAAAGGTTTCCATTTTCAATGAAATATGGAAACAACTGGCTCTGGCTCGTTATTTTTATAATCTACTTAAATATAAATTGTTTGCAATTAATTACATCCTCTTAAAGTCCATTATTCAGTAAGTTTTGAATATATACATATATATATACACATACACACTAGAGGCCTGGTGCACGAAGATTCATGCAAAAATAGGCCTGCCTTCCTCTGGCTGCCAGCACCAGCTTCCCTGCCGCACCCAGAACCTGGGCTTCTTTGCTCCAGCCTCTGTTGCCACCCACAGGGGCATGCTCCGAGCCACACCGTGGCACCTCAGAGCACCCCCCCACTCCTGGTGTATGTCCACTGGGGTTGGAGGCAGCACATAGTCCTCTCCTGCCCATTTGTGTGTGCAGCTCCTTCTGAGCTGTCCTGATGCAGCCTTCTCCTGAGCCAGTGGTGATGCCTGGCTAATTTGCATATTACGTGTGTGTGTGTGTGTGTGTGTGTGTGTGTGTGTGTGTGTGTGTGTGTGTGTGAGAGAGAGAGACGCCTGGCTAATTTGCATATTGTGTGTGTGAGAGACGCCTGGCTAATTTGCATATTGTGTGTGTGTGTGTGTGTGTGTGTGTGTGTGTGTGTGTGTGTGTTATATACTTTCTAAACTAAAATCACAATCAAGATTCAGAACATTTTTATAACCCATATCCGTAGGTTTTGCCATATCCCTTTGTAGTTTCTCCCTTTATTCACCTCTTCTCCTTGGCAACCACCAATCTGTTTTTAGCAACTGTAGATTAGTTTACATAGAATTTCATTTAAATGGAATTATATGTTATGTACTCTTATTTGTATGGATTCTTTTTCAGCATTAAAGTTTTTGAGATTCACTCATATTGTGTGCATGAAGAGGTTTTTTTTTTATTGCTGAGTATTTTCATTGCATGAATTTACCCATTTTCCTGTTGTTGATTTGTTATAAAGATGCTTGTTTGCCAACACTTTGTATTATCACCTTTTAAAAATATAGTCATATAATTATGCAGTTGTATCACACTGGGCTTCTGATTTGCAATTCCCATATTGATAAAAATATATAGTATCTTTTTTATGCTAAATGGCCATTTCTATATTGTCTGGC